TTTCTGTTAACCTACCATTACATAGATATATGACAAACTTAATTTCATTTACGTGATCTAATTCATACATTGAACAAGATATTTCATGAGTTATTTTTATTTTTGAAGTTCAAATTAAGATAAACACATCACGTAACGTAACAGTTTCTCCTAGGTGTGTATATAATAATTCTAGTGATGTGAGATGTCAATTAGATAACACATTGGGTGGCAGCCTTGATATTTATTTGAAAACGATTATTATTATAATGTAATTAAGAGTAGGAGAAGAGAACAACAAAGAGAATGCTATAGGTCTTGATATAAAAATACTTCATATTAAACCCTTTTTGTTGTTGGTTTGGTTGTAATCCACTTACATGATATATCTAGTTCCCTACCTTCCTAGAAATATTCGCTTGTATATCTTTTGGAATGAGATATAATCAAGGGCAGTCAGAGATTCCTCCCCTGGATTCATTCCACAGAAAGTTTATATAAAAATAGTACTAGCGCTGGACTCAAATATCATTATTGAGATAATAGGTATTTCATGTCAAGGTTAGTTCTTGGTTTGTTATTAGTAGAATATTATGGTTGTTTGAACTGGGTTAGAGTTTGACAGTTCTGGTTTAGTTATTTCGATTTTCAGTTTGGTTCATATAACAATATTAGGACCTCATTAATATTAGATAAATAGGCAATTTGGTTCTTTCGGCAACTAAGATAATTTTAAATTTTCAATTAAAAGTATTCGAATTTTTGTTAGGTCAGAGATTATAGGTTGATTTTTAGAATAATTGATAGTTTTAAAACCAAATATAATCAATATTTTAGGTATATAAACTATATTTTAGATATTTAAGTATCCATATGGTTCTAATTGATTTTAGATTTCGATTCAAAAAATAGAGAAATGCTCGGATATTTGTGATCATTCGGTTTCAGATTCAGTTTATATGCCTAGCCCTGGACAATGGCCATCTCATGTTTCATGGTCTTACTGGTTTAGAAAAAGTTTATATAAGCAACAGTATTACATGTTCACGTATATCCGAACTGAGAAGTGTTGAATAACGAAGAAAGTAGTAGCAAAACTCATCGCGTAGGAACGCTTACTATTTAAACTAATTTCTGCAGCTAATTAACGAAGAAAGATAAAAGTTCGTGTAGAGTCTAAATAGTGACTCCACCTTATAAAGTGTAAGAGTCTATCTAACTTGGCACGATGAAATATACCAAGCTGCGATAGCGCCAATGACGTCACTAAACAGCTGACATGTCAATTCCAAAAACATTGCGTGTCAGTGACAAGTGTAGGCTTTTCATAGGGAAAAGGGATTGCACATAATGGGGTTGGTGAGTTTAACTGGTATGTCCATCCCTCATTAATCTCTCCATCCAAGTCAAGAAATGGCAAACACATACTAATAGTGAAAGTGAGCATTCGAGTGAGAAGACGAAATTTATTCATTTTTCAAAGTATAAAACATATTGAAATTACACCAATTCTGTTTCTAGGCATTCACAAGCCTACACATAATAGGTTTGTCAATTGTCAATGTTTGAATAACCCTAAAATTCAGCATTAGTAGTAACATTTTAACATGTTTTCAAGACTTTACCTCGGTTCTGTGCCAATGATAGGTTCAACTATTCCTCCTTTGATCCGCGGTCAAACCAACAACCTATAAATCACAGAAAAATGTTAAATTTCCCAGCAAAGTAAACTTAGACAAAGATAAGCCAGTAGAATTAGAAGTCATAACAAAATGACACTGTCGTATAAAGTCATGCCAATAGATTCACAAGCAGAGTAACATTACTTTTAGTCACCCGGGACCAATCAAGGCTAGGTGTTAATATGCAAATGATTAAAGAAGCCATAGTGGTTTTAGATTATACAAAAAACTTTACGACAGCGAATGATATGAGTTCTAGTGTCTGAAGGAGCACAATCCTTGGGGGCATGTGTCGGCCTTCAGTAGTGAGGTTTTGTTATAATGGGCAATGAAAATGATATCACAAAAATGGGTCCTAAGAGAGTAACGGAGAGATAGATGGGAAGTAACTATTGCAATTAAAGGGGATGCAGAACTAGAAAACTAGAGGGAGGCCACTACAAGCACTTACATTGCAAACAATATGTCCCCGTGTATTCGTTAGATTTCTACAAGGCTATTGCTTGAATGGTAAAGTAATTATCGTGAAAACCATTAGTGGAGTGTATAAAGTGTTTGAGCTTTACAGGTGTTCCCCTTTCATTAGTAAAGGCTCCTAACTCTGGTATAATTGGTCCAAAATTGACAGAACGAAAGTGCTTGCACAAGTGTAATTTTATGATTTGTGTAATTAAAAGTTATTAAAGTCCAGCATGGACTTTCATGATCATGATTATCTGTTCGAGTAAGTTTCAGCATTTACCTGTTAATCATGGGGGATTTTGGAAGACAATTCTGACATTCAGATGAGTTGTGCCTTTTTAAGGTCGGATACAACTCCTCTATCCTGGCTGCTCCTTTCGTTGTAAACAACCTGCGAACAGATTAAAGGAAGAGAATAACTCAACTCTGCAGAAGATAATCACAAACCTGTCATTTATCGTACCTTATCAATGATCCCATATTCAACAGCCTCACTAGGACTAAAATATTTTGGGCGTTTCATGTCAGCTTCGATCTGCTCCGGGGACTTACCGATATGCTTTGAATACAGCTTGACCTTTGATATTACACAGGACAGAGACACACGTAAAATTTATCAGATAAGTTCAAAGATAAAAATGACGAGTAAAGCAAAGAGAATACGCATATAATTTCAGATTCACTAGTAACTGCATAATAGTTGATTGCTTATTAGTGCATATTTAGATGTACATAGTCATTGCCCGCTTGTTGAACATATCACGCACACAACTGGATAGAGTTGTATAATGAAGGTTAAACTAAGAGTTTGTACGTATTCTTCTCACCATTTCTGTCTTTATGTGATTGATTTCTTTCCTTGCAATTTCAACATCGGTCGCTTGGCCTTGAAATCGAGCAATGGGCTACAAATTTATCAAATAAAAGGTATGGATGAGTAACAGACATATGCACATAAAACTAGGAATCATATAGCCTAACTTTCCTCAAATGAGGAGGAAACAGACGCCACTTACAAACTAATATAAAGATCAGGAAGAACCTGTTTTATCATTATAGTTGATGAGGGCAATGCAGAACGGTTTCCTTTAGCACCGGCAGTCAGAAGCAAAGCAGCTTCACCCCAAGCATTCCCAACGCAAAGAGTAAAGATTGGTGGTTTGACATACCTGAAGTCCAATATAAAATAAGAGTTGATTCTTGCATGGATATATGTTCCGTCTCCCAAAAATTACAAGTCAAGAAAAGCTTAATATGAAAATCTTCTTCAATTGCGGTTCAGAAAACTAGAGAAAGCAGTTCAATGATAAGAGTCTAGTCACAGATTCGTGTTAAGAAACAGACACGAGAATGAAGAAAATAAATAATAGAGATAAAAGTTACTACCCCATGACATCATAAATTGCAAACGCCTCGGTATCATAGCCCAACTTCTCACCATTCTGAAATGTACAAAAAAAAAAAAAAAAATTCTCTTAAAACATCATGAATATTAGTTAATATAGGCCTTTAGACCACCCGTCTGGGAAAAAAAATCATAGTTTTAAAGGCCACTATTCAGTATGCGTTTGCAAAAATGGTAGACTTTTTAACGGAAGCCTACCTTAGTCGTCCCTGTGGAGTTTATGTAGAGGTAAATAGGCTTTTCCTCGTCTTCGTACTGAAGATAAAGAAACTCCGCAAGTATCAACTCAGTGACTGAAGGTACAAGAGACATTCCCAAATATACAATCCGGTTTTTGAACAAATATGAAGCCAAATCAGGAGGAGGTTGTTCGTGTGCACTCCCTTTTGAAAAAGGTATAACCTGTTGATGAAAGGAAGCACACTCAGAAAACCCATGGGAACAAATAATGGAAATCGATCAGCAAAAATTGCAATCCAACTAAGTGAAACACAAAAAGTGATGAACATACACAATTAAGCAGCCCCAAAATCCCTATGACAGCTACAGAACTTATAACAACATGTTTTGAGTGCAATTGATTCAAATGCAAATGGCACACACAATTAAGTGAAAACTTCTACAACATTCTCAACTTCCTTCTCATTAAGCAAACTTGCATAGCACATAGGTTTTTCTAATAGTGGACGGTTCAAGCATCATACTCAAATCTCGATCTAATAAACATGTAGCACTTGAATCTCGGATCAATCAAACAACTGAAACTCTGAACATTTTCCCCGGCAGTCAGCTAGTAGCCTATGTCTAGTCGTATACAATAATCCATGGATATTACCAAATCTCAGCTACAAGCCACGCAAACCTAGATTCCTAACAGTACATAGCCTTCTTAATCGAGAAACGATGTGAAATGTAAACAATCATTTTACCATAGTGACAACTCCGCGCTTAGGTTTCGAACTGCAAAGATTTAACGGATTAAGTGATTCGGAACGAAGCTTAGCGCCGCAGAAGTCACTAGAGATGCTTCCTCCGGTATACGGGGAGAGTAAGCCATTCGAGAGAGAAGAAGATGAGGAACATCTCACTTTCGATCTCAGGTTGCGTGTTGAAGACGGGATTATGGCTGACGTACGAGCACGGAGCCTTGTGAAGCTCGTCGCAGTCGCAGTCGCTGCTGCTACCTCCATAACTTTTTTTCCTTTGTTGCAGAGAGAGAGAAAGAGAGACACCGAAACGATAACGAACGATCCGTGTCAAATTGGGCCACGTAATAGTATTAATTGGGCTATAAATTCAAACAATAGGCCCAATAGTTTGGACCGGGAGAAAAACAAGAATACTATACCGGTTAAACCCACTGAAAACCGAAATAAACCTGATAGCTAAACCGAGTCCAGGAGTTCTTTTTTTTTGTTTCTTTTAATAAAGGAACCATTTACGAGAGACTAGCAAACAAAACATCCACCACAGAGAATCTTTCTCTGTCGTATTCTCTGATTTTTGTGAGTTTTATAAACAAACTAAATGAGTGAAGAAGCACTGAAACCTGAATCATTCCACTAATCCTCAGCGAAGATGCGTTCACCTCACCTAATCGCCTTCTTCTTCATCATCATCATCAGTTAAGTACCAATCTTTAGACTCTTCTTCACAAGCTTTTATTCATAACTGACAAATTCTCTTTGTTATCATCACCTTCGCAAAGGTCTTTTCGTTAGTGCTTCGAAAAGCGACGATGGGTTCTGTTCAGCGCCTTCGATCGAGGAGAAGCCGAAACCCATTTATTGGAAAGTCACGAATCCAACACTCTCTCCTTCTCACCTCCAAGGTTCGAAGATCGTAGTTTCTAGCTTCGTGTCATTGAAAGTTTCATACTTTCTGTTATAGGTCGTGTTTACTTGGATTAGTGCTTAATCTGAGATCATTTCAAGCTCTTATTTAGCAAAATGCTCTTAACTTCTGATCAGCTAGGGGCTTGACATAGTAGTAGATATGGAAAGCTTAAAGTTTCAGTCATTTGGACACATATTCGTCCTTTCTGAAAAGTTGTTCCTTTTGTGTATATTTAGATTAGTTTTAATTTGGTGTAGAGCATTCTGCATTTGGATCTTTGTAAAGTGTTTTGAACAGAATTTTTCTGGTTCTGTAGACTTGCCAGGTTATACAAGAAGTGTATACAAACCAGACCATGCGTTAATAACACCGGAAAGTCATGTGTACAGCCCTTTGCCTGACTGGTACATCTCTCTTTTCTTTACTTTTGCTAGCTACCCAAGTAGACGGCAAGTCCTTGAGCTTATTTGTTGAGTAAATTGGCAGGACAAACACACTAGGGGCGTATTTGATCACACCTGCAATGGGTTCCCATTTTGTCATGTATTTTGCCAAAATGAAAGGTCTGTTATCAACATCTTCTCACAAGTGATGAACATCAAAATTCTTGAGTTTTTATTCTTCTGAGAATTCATTCTTTTATGAATTAGTTTGGTGTAGATGATCTGCCGCTTTATATGATTTTCTCGTAGAATTTTGTGCTCATTTAGCTGGTTTTACTGTATCTTGCAGAAATGTCAAGTTCAAGTTTACCTCCAAAAAACATAGAGCGGTAATTTTACTTTTACAGGCTCTCTTTAAGATAAACCTGTACTTATCATCTACATTCTGATTATTTACTCCTTTCATTTTCTTGAAACTTCTTCAAGTCTTGTATTTGTGGTTGAGGGTGCTGTGACACTGACTAACACATCCAGTTCCTCAATAAAATTGACGGTATTCTTTTCTATAGAGAACAATTTACCGAAATTTAAGTAACACCTACCATCCTCTAAACTTACTGACCATTTTTTCCTGTAGGTTGATTCATATGCATACCTACCTCCAAACTTCCATCATTCTTTGGATTGTGCCGAGTCTGCAACACTTGTTGTCTTCGAGCGGAGGTTCTTCTCCTTCTCCTTTAATATGACAAACAATTTTCAGGTCTCTGTACAAGTTATAACTTTAAAATCTCATCTGGTGCTACAACTCTAGGTATGAACTTCTAGGGAGTCACACAACAGAGCTTATCGTTGGCTCCACAGACAAGCAACCACTACTTGATACTCCCGGTGAGGTATATGCACAAAACTCTCCACTTTCTCATGCGGGGCATCTAAAGTCCAAGCTGTAGATTCTAATTAGTAATCTCTGAAATCCCATTTTGTTATCGTTACAGGTTTTTGAGCTGCGAAAACTTCTTCCTGTCTCCCTTGCGTATGACTTCAACATCCATGTAAGCACTTCCTTTGATCTAATGAATCATTTCGCTTCTTGAGACCTCTAAAGTATAATTATTGTTGTTTCTGTCTTATGCAGATTATGGATTTTCAGCCCGGAGAGTTTCTCAATGTTAAGGTACAGAAACTGTTTAGCTTCTTTAATACCATAGGGATCTTGATTACGCCCAGCTGCTCGTTGTTTCCTTTCCTTTCCAACTTTTCTTATTCCATTTTAAAATATCCATTCGTTTCAAAATGATTTTGCAATGTTAACAGGAAGTTCATTATAACCAACATGGTTTGTTGCTTCTGGAGGGTCAAGGCATTTATCGCTTGGGAGATAACTGGTATGTACCACTGTACTAATAAATGGCAAGTGTGATATAAACACACTACTATATATATATATATCAAATTTTTCGCAGTGGTTATGTAATGTGATTAAAAGCATATTTACCAAAATGAAAATGCAACCACTTCTACGTTCCACATGATATTGGAAGTGTTAATAACTTTCATGTGATTTTTTCTTTTAATAGGTATCCAGTTCAGGCTGGTGATGTCATATGGATGGCTCCTTTTGTTCCTCAGTGGTAAGAAGAGACTGTATATGATACGAGTTTCTACTCTGTTTCAAATCTTTGCAAGAACCAAATTCTCTTGGAACTGTATCTTGATAATCTGAATGATCATTCGACCACACATTCTTAAGCTAGTGTTTGTTGTTTCAGGTATGCTGCGCTTGGAAAGACTAGGTCTCGGTATCTGTTGTATAAAGATGTGAATCGGAATCCATTGTGATCAAAGATCCAAGTGAATTGGTGGGAAGTATGGAGAAGGCTTCTTTGCACTAGAAGCCAGAATCTTGTTCTTTAGGTTTCGGTCTTAAAAGCCTCATGTGTATTCCAAGCATCAGCTACTTTTGTTTTGCATGAATAAAACTTATTTGAAATGTCAGTTGCCTCTACTCCTTTCGCCATAGTTTTTATATCTCTTGTTTTCTTTGACGTGCATAACCTAACCAGTTTTTCCAGGGATAGTTTTTTCATTCTAGAATCTAGAATAACATGGGTTTGTGACTCTGCATTTCAAGATACAAATGCTCAAAAAAGATAGAAGACTTAGATCCATGCCAATGCCATAGAACCATTGATGCTTAAGATGAGTCCAAGAAAATCAAAGAAAAAACATATGACCTGAAAGGAAGTGAAGAACGGAACAAGAGCCAGTATGATCGAGACAGACTATTTTGGTTGAGACATTTAAACCAAGAATGGTTTTGGTCGATAAACCTTCCTGGATGCTTGACAACGAACCATATGCGACCATTTCCACCCAAAAGGACGTATGGGTCTGCGAAGCTAGTAAGGAGAGAGGAGGTGCACATGCACCCATAATATTTTCAAAAGATAGTGTGTTCTTCGGCCTAATTTTATATTTTCACATATGTCATTGGTAAATCTACGCTGTGCGCACCCAGTCAAAAATCATTTTGGATTTGCCACTCATGTACGATTTCAAGGCCAAACAGAACTGGCATATTGTTAACGCATCCAGGAGGCCTAACCTTCTAAGACCAGACCTGGACGGCTGGACCATACCCGACTTGACAAGAATCCAATACATCTTCCAATGGTCTAGTTTCCAACCCAATATGGACCTTTCTATATTTCGGCACATTGGGAAGACGTGTTTGGCTACTAGTATGCGTAATTTTTTTTCAGATTTATACGTAAACTAGGTGTTTGTCCGCAATTTTGTGGAATTATATTATATGAAGAAAAATATATTATGTTTAGACTGTTATAATTTGAATAACAATTAGAAATATTAAAATTTTAATTTTTAACATTAAAAAATTGGATAATCAAAAATTTCAGTATATATTTTTAGAAGATTTGTGAGATTTAAAATAATTCAACAACAAAAACTGCGGCACCCGATTCTTCCAAAAATAATATAATTAATAATAATTATAGAAAACATCGGATTTAATAATAATACTTAAAAGTCGACATAAACCGTGCCACATAAGTCCAAAACATAAAACGGCCCAAGGCCCAATACATAACATCCGTAATAACGTCAACAACATAAACCGAAAGTCTGAAATAACATAAGCGATAAAAGTCCAAGGTTTATAAGCCCAATACGATAAAATACGATAAAATACGATAAGATAAGATAGAATACTATAGAAGCCCAAAAGCCCAATAGCACCGGTCCGATATGATCACTCCTGCTGATCGGTCTCGCCTGCAAGGGGAAGAAGGAGGGGTGAGCAACAGGGGAGTCGCTCAGTGAGGTATGGGATGCTACCCCGAAGTCAGTAGACCCGGACATAGCACTCCAAATAAATATAATTTAACTCTAATATGTACAAACACGGCACCTAAAGCACCCAAGTAAACAAACAATGGTCCTAGCGAGTCGCGCACTCGTGCCCGCTAACCGCTAGCGGGACTACAATACTGGGATAGTGCCCAGTGACACCGCCCGAAGACGATTTATCGACCGCACTAGACTACGACCCGGCCGGTCGACTGAAGCCGTCCGTAGTCCCTCATACAATCCGACATACAGAAGTCCGTCTCTGTATCCGGCCAAACAATTCTAACTAAAGATTACATTAAGTGAAGCAATCAATGTTGAATCCTCTAACCACCTAGT